TATGTAGAGTCCGCAGAGCCTCATGAAAGCTTGCAGGCACTTGCCATATTTGCTCCTGGTTAGTACTGTGTTTGCCAATCTTTGGCATGTGCCAATCAGTCATGAACATCAGTCACTGGGTACATGAATGGTTCACTCCCAAGGTAAGGCTTAGGCATGCCTTGACTGGTAGCAAAATCGCCCGAAATTCTTCAAAGAAATCAAGGAAATTCTTCCTTGGTATCTGTCATAGGAGCCCATATGAACCTGTTCCACGGTTCTAAACGGAAGGGCTGATTTCTGAAAGGTGACAAACCTTGAGTCGACTGGGTTTTTCTTTTTACTGCTGTGTTCCTGCTGATGCCTCTCTTGTGTTTTGCATCACTGTCTTAAAATGAGGTTTTCCCATATGGCATCACTGTCTGTCCACCTGATTTTCAAAAATCATGCAGTATTATGCTGGTACATCTCTAACTTGCTCATTATCAGTGAGATTTTACCCAAAGTGATCTCAGAGTCCCATTTCTGCTGGCCAAACCTTCCATTAGCAGCAATCCTTTCACTGGATCACTTCCCCTCATCAGACACTGACCTAGATAAAGATATCAGATAGCATCTACACAGCCAAGAAGACTGAACAGAGCTCAAAACATTTCTTGCCAGTAGCCTTCACAGCAGACACAGCCCTGTGGCTCTCAGCACATGTTGCTTTGCATCTTTTGAGCACTTTTCACGACTGGGTTTTTGGCTTAGGCGATAACAAGGTGCTCAGCCCTTCTCATAAGAGCCACACTTCCAAGAGAGAGCAATTCTTATTTAGGCATCACAGCAGTATCTATGCTACCAAAATCACCTGCCTGGCTGGGCAATAAAATCTGGACAGAAATATCACTGAACTTGGGCAAAACCAACTGAGGAAAACTTTGAGTGTGGAGCTGGAGTATAGTGCAATGTTCAAGGTACGTCTGCTGGTGGGAAAATGGGAACATGGGCAAGCACAGTGGACAGCCCCCAGGCATGCAAAAGGATCCAGGCTAAGGTTTCTCTTAGTAGCTGTCATCTTTCGAGTATTAGAAAAAAGTGACCCATCTTGATTTAAAATTGGTGGAGAATCCACAATAAGTCCTGGTAAATTGTTCTAATAATTACGCACAATAGTAAAAATTGATACTTTGTACTTAATTCAGTTGCACACAAGAGTGTTTAGAGCTTTCTGAGGCTCCCTAGGATATCAGAGATCTCTGCAGTACCTCACATATTTGAAACAGTACCAGTGGGAGACCACTGGATACTGCAGAGCACCTCAGATAGCCCCAGCCACCCCTGTATGAGCAGCTGAATTGAGCCCTTTCTACCTGTCCTGCTTCAGTTCTGGCCACCAATCCCTGTTCTGACTTTGTCCTTTATTCCCATCCTTCTGCTCTTGCATAGATATTTATAGACTGCAAACAAGTCACCCCTAAGTAATTAAAGAGAGTTCCTTGAGAAGCTTCAAGGCATAGCTGCACGTTGTGTGCTGTGCTATCTTCTCAGGAACATGGTTCCTACCAACTTTGTCTGATGTCCCATAGCTCTTACGTTTGACGGGATGGTAAACAAACAACTTCACCCCTGTTACTTTACCCGGCTACTCATGATTTTATAGGTGCTATTATACTTCAGTACAGCACCAGTATGAAATTATTATAATCCCTTATTCCTATGCCTCATTCACCCCAAGATCACAACAAGGAACATCTCGCTATTCACAAGAACCACAACAATTTCTTAAAAAATTGCTAATTTCTGAGATGGGCTCCATCATCTCATTAATCTCAGATTTTTTTCCTAAATGTGTCCCTTTGCTTTTCCGTATAGAAATACACTCTTCCCATTTGCTCCCAGTTCCCAAGATGGAGGTAGCTCTGTGTTGTGAACTGTCCCCTTCATTATTTAACACTCCATAGCCCCAGTTTTAGACTCCTACACATTCAGTAGACAATGATTCTTTATTTTTGCCCCAAACCAATAAAGAGAATAACGAACCAGTTGCCACAGGATTTCCCTTGTAAAGAGACTCAAGGATTCATTTTCACAGTGACATTCTGAGATCTGTTCAACCAGTTAAATCCACTTAATTTGCACCATGTTGATTTTATACCATTTTTTAAAAATCCACCTCCAAAATTAACCAAACAGTCTCTAAATCAAGAGCTGCTCATTCTTACTGGTGAACAACAGCAAATTGATTTGACAAAGACTATTTTCTATATACATACACTCATGTGCATCAATTCCATCACCTTCCTTTAAGAAGTCATTAATCAAGGGATGTGCCTGGTACTTCTTGCCTTTAACAGTGACAGGCTGACATTCTCAGCATTAGCCAAATAATTTGCCCAGTCCTTTTAAATGATGAGCCAATATCAGCTTTCTCAGCCCTCTAAAATCTTTCTAGTGTCCCAAAATGAAAAGTCAGCATTAATAGCCCACACAGTATGTTCCTGGCACCAAGAGTTCTCCCAGCCGTGAATTATCAGGACTGGCTGATCATAAAATATAATTCATGTGGTTGTTATTTAACATAATCCTTAGTTATTAATGAAGCCTAAAATGCTCTTTCACCAGCAACAGATACCAATACACTATTTGACCTTATCCCCCAGACAAACATGGAAAAGAAATATTAATTTAATGCTCCTCTGTTTCCTTGTGATGGTGCTAATGGCAGCTACTGCCTTTATCTACTAATAGTTTTGATTCTTTTTACCTTAGCTGAGTATAAGTTTATGTTTTTCTACTTCCATTACTCATTCCAGAGCAGAGGTGGCCTATTCAGATGAATTAAGACCAAAAGATATTGGCCTTTATCTTACTCAGTAGGAGTGATCACTATAGGGCAACCAACCCAGAGCACCAAGCTCCATTTCAAATATTGCATTACACATCAAAAACACGTAAAAAGCACAAAGATGTTGCTTTATTTCAGCCCAGGTCATCTTCTAGCTTTAAACAGGAGGGATAAAGCCCCCTGATTAAACACTCCTCCCAGCAGACACTATCCGATAGTACCAAGTTAGTCACACCTCACTATCAGGTGGACTTTTGTATTGTTGCAAAAATAAAATGAGGAAGGATTAAATTTGTGGGATCAGAATGGGGATTTTTAAATACTTTTTATGAATCTTAAGGCCGAGGAGAGGCAGGAGGAATGCAGGCTGCTGAGAGCTTCTACAAATACGTTTCCAAACACCTGGAGAGTGTGCTTAATCTACCTGCAAACAGTTGACTTTCTTCTGTCTCATGCCAAGCTGCTCTTTCCCCCAAAAACCAAAAATCAGGCTTCTTTCCCAGTTTTGGTAAAATCACTTCTGATACGCAGTTACTGAAGCCTGGCCACATCCTTTTTCCCCAAAAAACTCTGAAATTCCCACTTGTAACTGTCTCACTCCCAAGGTGTCTATTTAATCCCACTTTTATTAGGAGCACAGCTCTTGGTACTTTACAGAGGTTACAAACAATGAAGCTTTTATCAAAACTTTGGCTAATCAGTTGCTAACAAGCTCTCATTCAGGAAGGGACTATGCAGGTCCAGGCTAAAACTAACCTGAGGGGGTGAAAAAAGGGGAAAAAAAAAAAAAAGGATAGGGAAGAGGGTGTTCCTCTCAACCTGGATCAGTGCCCCGGTCCACAGCCACAGAAATCCTTGTGCGAGCGCAGCAGCCAGTAAAAGCAGCCAGGAGCGGACACAGAGCAGAGCTGCTTCTTTCAGCGATGATGTTCGCTCACAGCAGCCTAAGTGCTGGAGCAACTGCGGCTGGTGTTAAACTAGGATTTATTCCTCGCTCTGTGGCAGAGTCCAGAGGCTCCATCATACTCAGCACCATATAAACATACCAGGAAAATATTTGCTATTCCAAAATGCTAAGCCTCAGTCTGCAGCCTGCAGTGTTTTTATGGAGAGCGTGAACTGGAAACAAAATCAATCCAAGTCTGTTGTCGGTAGCCTGAAAATTATGGAATGAGGACACCTCCCCAGGAAATGTTGTAGGGTCTGAAAATTCACGAAATATTTGAAAACCTCTGATCTTATCATACGGTAAGTTGGCAAAATTTGATCACCAGAACTTCAGTCCAATAGATGGCTAGATACAGGGAGGGAGAAATATACATTATTCTCCTTAGCTAAGAGATAAAAATTACTTCAACCTGTATACACATACACAGAAGACCCTTCCCAAATTTATGGCAGCGAAACATCTACTGTACACCATCAGATATTCTCTGTTACCCCTTTTCTGGACAGATCAGAGGTTGAGTGAAAAAAGAGACTTTCTGAGAGCATATTAATAGGTATAAAGTATCCAGTCTATGAAGGAATAGGCTTAGCTGCAAATAAGGGGGTGGCACTAGAGCGTGAATTAAATTTGAGCCATTCTTAGTCAATTCCTTCATATTCTTGGGAGTGAAGCCACAGTACTGGACCACTGAAAGAGAAAAGATAATTCTCCAGTCTTGTCCCTGAGGATGAAGAATCCATTTCCAATTTCATTGATTACTCTTGGAGAAAGACATAAACGAATTCTTCATCTGCAGATGCTATGTGGGCCATAGAGTTACTGCCTTGTCTCTTGCCGGCCCTGAGGAAAAAGTGAGACTTATATTGCAAATGCAGCCAAAACAAACCAAACCTGTGGTTCCTGCTCCACTGCAGCAATTGGCGCCACTGAAGGGAATCCTGGTCTCTCTCTGTTACTGGTAAAGTCAATAGCAGCCAGTATGGGCTATTAGGTCCCGATCTTCCAACACGTGCCTAGACCTCAGCATCCTTGAGAAAGGGAGAGAGAACCAGGTGGGTGCAGCTATTGGTTCCCGCTGCGAGGCTGGGTGCTCAGGTCTGAAGCCTTTTCAGGTTTCCGTGTTCAGCTGTACACACCTGAGATTCACAGCAGGAAAGTTAAGCCTGTACCTACATGTTCAGAGGAGCAGGGCCTTAGAGGCAAAGACCGTGTCTTCCTAGCAGGGGGGAAAGCGCTTGCGACATGCACGACAAGGACAAGCACAACACCAAAGGGAATGGTGCGGCTAGCACAAGGCAGGTATGGTGACGACCTGGCTCTCCTGCAGCACGTTTCCTCGGGACATTCTGAAACACTTTCCAAGGCAGCTGCCTGGAGAGGTTTGCAGTTAATGGCAGCTGGCTGGGGATACGGTTCAGCCCTGACTGCCCGGTGCCACGGGCTCCTCTACCCCAGCAGAGCTCCCTGCCACCCTCTTAACGCCAGTGCTAACAAACGTCCCAGTAGCTCAGAAATAACAGAGTAGTTCCACAGCGTTGCTCAAGCCCAACCCCAAATCCGCTCGCAGTGATGGTCAGTAGCCTCAGATTCTTACCTTGAAACTGATTTCGGCACCTGGCTTACCAGCTTCTTGGTGCGTTTCTGAAAAGCAAACGTCTCCCAGAACCTCTCTGGAAAAAAACAACATTTAAAAAGCAGAGAGGCAAGGTGCTGGAGCTCTTCATGCTGCTCTCCTTGTGCCTTGGCAGAAGGAACAGCAACAGGTTTATACTGAGAGCTGACAATGCTTTGAGGCAACGCGGCACACTCCTTGCAGGATAAATGCATTAAGAAAATTAAACATTTTTACAGCCGTCACACCATCAAAGCTTTATTCTCTCCACTCTTTAAGTGTTGGTTTGCATATCCGTGCCATCCCAGCTATGTAACAACCTCTCTAAAGCTATTTTTGTTTCATGTTTCTTACTATTTGGTAAAGCAAACTGGAGTTTTCTGAGGACACGCATTTTTATTAGAGCTAATTCAGCGCTATTTTCTCACCCGTTTCCTTTGTTGGAAGCAGAGAAATCAACTAAAGAAAACTCGAAGGCAGTGTATCATGCCTCTGAGGGAAATTGCCTTCCCCGCCTCGTCATAGCCGGGCTGTTCCTCTAGATGGCTCTGCCTTTGCCCAAATACATCAAATCCCTGAAGCAAAAAAATCGCAATTTCGGGCGATACCACTGATTGCTCCTCTCTCTCCTGCAACGACCGCGGTTTTTTTGAGAAAACGGATAAACATAGATTTATTGTAATTTTAGAGAATAACATTTTCGGCTTAGCTTCTCCAACACGGTGAGAAGTTGCTTTTTAGAAATCTACCTGCTTCTTGTCCTTTAGATGTTCTTTGTAGCTGTGATTTCCCCACAAACTACTTGCTTTAGATGCCCGCTGTCCAGACAGACTTCAAATCAGCATTTTCCAGTGAGACCCTTCTCCAAAGAGATGCAGAGCTGTTATAAATAATGAAGGCAAGGAAGCTGAGAAGGGAAAAGACACCTTGCAAAACATAACATTTCTCCTGCTGTTCTGACTATCCAAATACACACGGTAAGATCTTTCCCCAAAAGATGAAAAATAAAACCAACAGCAGCAACAGTGACAAAAACAAAAAAAAAAAAAACAACCCCCCCAAAAAAAAACCAAAACGCCAAAACCCAAGAAATCAAACACCTCCCCTTATGAAGGAGGAAACCCAAAATCATAATTCTTTATTCCACTCACTTTTAAGTGATTCCCTATCTCCAAACTCTGTGTCCACTTGTTTTACAATGAAATACAATGGTGAAAATCCTCCAGTTATTACATCCCTGCTTGGATCACATGAGGGATGAAAGTTTGGGATTGGAAGCAGCCTAGGAAAGCAGCCCTGGTTCAGCTTCACTGTTTTACATGTGCATTTATAACTATTTTATCGAAGCCATGAAACGCAATGACTTTTCCCAAACACTCCTCTCTCCCCAAAATCCCGGTGTCAAATCAAGACGCTGGGCGCTCGCAACCCTAGGGAGAGTGCTTTGCATCTCTACCTGGAAAGGGGATTTTTCAAGCATTTTTACCAGCAGAAAACCGAACAACGATGCCGTTTAAAACCCGGGGATTTACATCTTCTAAACGACTGACAAAGCCTCTCTAAATTCTCCCTCACCGTTGACTGTAATTTTCTTGTAATATCTGTGGGTCCAGTTGTGTGCTTTGCCCCAGACGAGAAGGATGTGCTGGAGCTGGTCCCCGTAATAAACCCCGGGGTGTTGGGATCGTTTATGAATACCGAGAGCTTTTTCTCTGCAAAAGGATGCGTTTTCCCTCAAGCTTCCCCCGAAGCACGAAGGCGAAAATCAACTTTTACTCATTAAATCGCGCCCCGTCACTGCCAGCCCTTTCCTCCCGCAGTACGGGCGAACACGCCGATGTTGTTTGTTTGTTTAATTTCGGACAATTCCTTATCCAAAGCTAATTAACTGCGATCTCAGCCCCGGCTGTTGTGAGACGGCCGGCAAAATTACACATAAATAACAAGAGTTTAAGTGAATTTCACCCTTCGCGTTCCCGTCGGGGCAACCGCAGCGATGCTAATCTCCCCCCGACCTCCATTCGGGGCCGGTTTCGGGGCCGAAGGGATGAGGGACGATCGCAGCCGTGGGAAAGGGGGATCGGATCCCTGAGCGCCAGGGAAGGGGCGGCCGGGCAGGGCCGGGGC